CCCCCCCGCTCCCTCGCCCCCCGCCCCCGCCTCGCCCTTTCTCTCACCCTCACAGCTCAGGGCCGAGACGCTGCAACCCCCCATTTGGCGTCTGCACCTTCCAGGTAGGAGACACTACGCTCAGCCCTCCGACTCACCGGATGAAGATCGCCGTCGCCCAAGCTTTCTCCTGTCCATCTTTTCCTCCTCCTGCTGGAATCGCAGTTGTCGGCGCTGTCCCCCGCCCCCGCCTCGCCCTTTCTCTCACCCTCACAGCTCAGGGCCGAGACGCTGCAACCCCCCATTTGGCGTCTGCACCTTCCAGGTAGGAGACACTACGCTCAGCCCTCCGACTCACCGGATGAAGATCGCCGTCGCCCAAGCTTTCTCCTGTCCATCTTTTCCTCCTCCTGCTGGAATCGCAGTTGTCGGCGCTGTCACCTCAAGACCCCCTCAAGCTTAGGGGAGGGAGGGGGAAGGGAGAGAAAAAGCCTGGAAAATGCGAGCCGCGCTTGCGCAATAGCCGCAGCCTGCCCTCCGACCGGAAGTTACCGCCCCTCTCACCTCCACCCGGAAATCACTTCCTGGGACTTGTTTTCTTTGCGGGCTGCTACTATACCTCGAACGATTATTTAGTGGTATCTTTTTCCAAGATCTCTGGCACTCGAGGAAAGCCCAGCTGGGTGTCCGATTTTCAGCCTAGGACGTTCAAAGGTTTTGCTGAATTGGAAGATTAAGTTAACCCATTAAAGGGAAAAAACAATTTTCAATTAATATCTCACGAGGTAGACTACAAATACGAAGAAAACGTTACTTCTTCCAGTATTACTTTCCAGGTTCCACTGTGTTTGTCCTTAAGGAGCTTATCCTCAAACTCAGAAACAAGATATTTAAAACGCGAAATCACCTGATACTACTTAAGTGACCAATAACACTATCACAGCTATTAATTTAGTATTTGTGGTGGAAATAAACAGTCCGGCTGTTGTAATAAAGAGGACCTCTTTCAAATTAAAATTTAGCTGGATGGTGATGCACACCTGTAATCCCAGAACTTGGGAGGCTGAGTCAGGACGACTGCCACAAGTTCAAGGCCAGCCTGAACTGTATAGTGAAATCCTGGCTTAAAAAAAACAAAGACTACTCATTTTTAAAGGCCAAGAGAAGGTGTGGGGGGGTGGGAAGCCCACTAGACCTCAACTTTGAAACAAAATGCTTCTGAATGTGGTAGTGTGTGCCTGTTCTCAGCATTAGGAGGTAGAGGCAGGAGGATCACCAGGAGTTCGATGCCAGTCTGAATTCCATGTCAAGACTCTGTCTCAAAAAAAAAAAGCTAAGATGGGATTTAGCTCAGTGGCACCTCACCTGCCTGGCAAGTACAAGGTTCTGAGTTTGATCCCTGGCACGGGGGGGGGGGGCCCTAAAATGGCCTGGCCAAGTGACACATACCTGTAATCTCAGCTACTGGAGAAATTGAGGCAGGAGGATCATGAGTTTGCCTCAAAGCTAACAAGTTCCATAAAAGTGATTCTAAAGTTTATCAGTAAGAAGATAAGAGAAATGAAATTACAAGAATTTAATCAAAGTATTCAGATTCAAACATTTACACATATCATTGCACTAAATAGCATTTTCAATAATAAGGACAGTGTTATTTTAAGGGTCTTTTTTGGAGGGGGTGCTAAATACCTTATTTTAATGAATATGTCTTTCATACAAGTGTAAAACAAGATTCCTACTGTTTCAACTACACGGCTGGGGATTTAGTTCAGTGGTTCCGCTGCCTGCCTCACAAGAGCAAGGACCTAAGTTTGATCCCCAGTACCGAAAAAAAAAAAAAAAACTCTATTTCAACTACAGTTAAATTCAAACTTTAAAATTGGCCCATAAACAATAACGTTAACTTGGAAAAGTTTTTAATATAAGAATATCAAACAGAACTTAATTTAAAGTTATCACAATATTAAAAATCAACTTCTTAGCATTCCAAGTTTATTACAAGTATCCCCGTGTTTTTTCTTAAGTAAAACTATAGTATCTGCTGGTGTTTATATGTTTAAAGTTAAAACAAAAAACTTTCAATTTGAATATGATTACAGTGCTTCTAACCCATCCAAAACCACCTGATACAGGTAGTAGGTGGTCTTGTTATAAGAAATAATGTTACAATGTTTTAATGTCATAACTGGGCTTTTAAACCATAAAATAAAGAAAAAAATGTAACATCATTTACTACCCTTTCCTGTTTCCTTTTCGCTGCTAGCAAGATGCCAAATTTGAGTCAGGGGTGGTGGCCCATGCCTGTAATCCCAGCACTTGGGAGACTGAGACAGGAGGATCGCTCTGAGTTCAAGACCAGCCTGAGCTAGATAGTGAGTTCCAGGTCAGTCTCAACTACAGAGTGAGACCCTGTCTCAAAAAACAAAACAAACAAACACAAAAAAAAGGCCAAACTTAATGTCATCATTATTCATTCAACAGATGACCATACGAGGTTTCAGTTTATTTCGTATTCTTACCTGATTACTAATATAATGTGCAATGTGCAAAGACAATTCTCATTAAAGACAAGCATTCAGTCTCTATTAATAATATGTATGTGTAGATTAAGAGAAAACAACACAAAAAGTTAGCAGAAGATATTCAAACAGAAAATTTAAAAAAGAGCCTGTAGAAAGGAGACAAAATGGAAATTTTTTTTTTGCCTTTGTTTTGGTTTTTTTTTGTTTTTTGTTTTTTGTTTTTGAGACAGGGTCTCACTATGTAGTTGAGACTGACCTGGAACTAACTATGTAGCCCAGGCTGATCTCGAACTCACAGTGATCCTCCTGCCTCAGCCTCCCAAGTGCTGGGATTACAGGCATGTGCCACCATGCCTGGCCAAAATGGAAAATTTTAAGAAGAGATAATACTTTTTGTTGAATCATTAAGATAACTACCACCATGCCATATGTGGTAATGCAAACCTGTCATCTCAGGACTCTGGAAGGCTGAAGCAAGAGGATCACAAATTCAAACCCAGTCAGGGCAACTCAGCAATTTAGTGAGATGCTATCTCAAAATAAAAATTTATAAAAAGGCTGGGGATGTAGCTCAGTTGTGAAGGCCCTGAGTTCAATCCCTAGAGAGTAACACACACACACACACACACACACACACACACACGCACGCGCGCACCAGCAATGTATTCAAACCAATTAAGGCCAGAAACAACGTGTGAAACATGGAGAACAGTTTCTCCTACAGTTGAAACAAATACTGTTTAAGGAGAGAGAAAAAGAAAAAACCTCCAAAATGAACACTACAAAACTATGTAGTTAAAAACTTCTTTAAAAAGGTCCAAAGTTTGATCCCCAGTACCAAAAAAAAAAATCTACCAGCAATGTATTCAAACCAATTAAGGCCAGAAACAACGTGTGAAACATGGAGAACAGTTTCTCCTACAGTTGAAACAAATACTGTTTAAGGAGAGAGAAAAAGAAAAAACCTCCAAAATGAACACTACAAAACTATGTAGTTAAAAACTTCTTTAAAAAGGTCCAAAGTTTGATCCCCAGTACCAAAAAAAAAAATCTACACCCTCACACAAAAAAGTTTTTAAAACAAGTGCATTAATAGACTTTATATTGAGACTCAATACTGTGTTCTCACTGAAAAGTACTAGAAATAAAATTAAATTTCAGGTATTTTCCATTTAATGTGCAAAATTAC